TGCTGTGACCCATGCCAGAAGCCATGCTGTGACCCGTGCCAGACTTGCTGTGATCCATGCCAGAAGCCATGCTGTGACCCGTGCCAGTCCTGCTGTGACCCGTGCCAGTCCTGCTGTGACCCGTGCCAGAAGCCATGCTGTGACCCGTGCCAGACTTGCTGTGATCCATGCCAGAAGCCATGCTGTGACCCGTGCCAGTCCTGCTGTGACCCGTGCCAGAAGCCTTGCTGTGACCCGTGCCAGTCCTGCTGTGACCCGTGCCAGTCCGTGTGCTGCACCAAGGTGTGCCAGAAGTCGGTGTGCTGTGTCCCCCGGCCCTGCTGCAGCCCCTGCGGTTCCCTGTCCTGCTGCTCCTGCGTGGTGAAGAAGCCCATGGTGGTTTGCTGCACCCCGGTGAGGAAGTACTGCACGCCCTGCATCCCCATCCAGCAGTGCTGCGCCAGCCTCAAGAAGAGCTGCTGAGCTCACCCGGGGTGGCTCTGAGGGCTCCACACGAGGAGGTGAAAAGCTGCTCTTTTACTTCTGGTTCTCATCGTGATGGAGCCAATTCACGGCAATTTTCTTCTTCTTCTTCTCCAGCTTAAGCTGCAGCTTCTTTCTGTCCTTTAGTTATTGGCTGTCTTTAATTATTGACTTCCTTGGGTACAACCTGAATTTGTCACCCATTATTGTATAAGGCATTAGATATTAGTGGGGTGTTAATTCTCCTCTTGGATGTTTGGGAAACCTTCGGTGTCACTGTGATCACTCTTCCTTTCCTCTCTTGATTTGTAGGCAATAAAATTTAGCATCAAGCAAAACACAACATTTGGTCTTTGGGTTGTTCTTACATGGCCTTGCCATTAATTTGTCACCTTGCCCAGGGTTTGTCACCTTGCCCAGGGTTTGTCACCTTGCCCAGGGTTTGTCACCTTGCCCAGGGTTTGTCCTCGTTCCGGCACCATCTGTGCCTTTGGCCAAGGTCCTGGATGTGTCCCAGCGGCACAGCAGAACATTTGGGACACAAAGATCTCGCCGGGCTGTCGGCACAAACCAGGTGATGTCTGAAGCAAGTGGAGCATTCCTGATCCTCTGGAATGGGTGCCCAGTCAAGCTGTGGCTGTCCCTGGATCCCTGGAAGTGTCCAAGGCCAGGTTGGACAGGGCTTGGAGCAGCCTGGGATGGTGGGAGGTGTCTCATGGCAAGGGGAGGAACGGGATGAGCTTTTAAGTCCTTCCCAGCCCAAACCATTCCTTGATCCCTTCTTGCCTCTCCTGATCATTCGCCTCAGCTCAGGTTTTACTACAAAACTGAAAGCTGAAGTGATTAAAACTTAAAGGGCAAGGACTGAGAGAGGCATAACTGCATCGTTGAGAACACAGCACTCAATAAATCAGAGAATCCTCAAATATCCTGACTTGGAAAGGATCCACCAGGATCGTTGGATCCTGGGCCAACTCCTGCCCCTCCACAGACACTCCAAAATCCCACCTCATCCCTGAGAGAGGTGCCCAAACACTCCTGGAGCTCTGGCAGACTCAGGCCATATCCTGGGGAGCCTGGGCAGTGCCCCACCACCCTCTGGGGAGGAACTTTCCAGAAATATCCAACCTAGACCACCCCTGGCACAGCTCCAGCCATTCCCTCAGGTCCTGTCCCCGGCCCCAGAGCAGAGATCGGAGCTGCCCCTCGGGAGGAAGCCGTGGACAGCTGTGGCATGCACAGGAGCCCATCCCTGGTCTCGGAAGGAGTATTCCAATAGGTACCAAGAGGAATTCACTACTCACTGGACAGCAGGCAGCATCTTCTTCCCACCACCATCTTCCAAAAGTAAAAGCTTAGAAACCCCTTGAAATCGTTGATTTTTACGGGAGAAGAGCATTTCCCCTGTGTGTTCCTGGACTACAAGCCCAGGAATGAAACCCAGGGTTGGCATCCAACTTAAAAGGCTCATTCCTAAAATAGCAAACCCGTGAGTCAACGATTCCTTCCTTCCCTGGCTGGGACTTTCTTTGCTATTAAAATGCAGGACTCAGCTCAGAATTGCAGGTCTGGAGAAAATGCCTGGAGCTCTGGCTTCATTTGCTTCCTCCAACCTTCCCACGCGACATCTGCATCAAAATCATCTTCTGTACCTGTTCGACTCTTCTGAAAACATTGCTTTGGTCTTCAGGAGGGGTTTTATTTATTGTAATTCAGGCACAAGGCACAGGCAGAGGGATATTCCATATCAGAACATTTTATAAAGTTCTTCCTGTTTAGGGAATCTTGTGAATATTCATCCCATCTTTGAGTCAGGGAATCATGGAAGGGGTTGGAAGTTCAAAACCATCTCGTTCCAGCAGGACAGGGACACCTCCAGCCAGACCAGAGCTCCATCCGACCTGCCCTTGCCCTGACACTGGAAGAGCTGCAGGAACAGATTCACAAAGGTCCTGCAGCTCAAACTCACGGAACCACCATGGATCTTTCCAGAGACGTCACGGGATGGGGCGTGGCCTACGAAAGGAACTTTGTGCAGATGTTATTTCTGAGCCAAGTGCGGGTTAAAGGGCGTTGAAGAGCAGGGAAAAATGTCGTAAATGCTGAGAGTGGTTCAGCCTGGAGAAGAGGCAGGTTTAGATGGGATATTGGGAAGAAATCCTTCCCCGTGAGGGTGGCCATGCCCTGGCACAGGGTATTCCATGGGTGTCCCACCCTTGGAAGTGTCCAAAGCCAGGCTGGATGGGTCTTGAAACAACCTGGGATAGTGGAAGGTGTCCCTGCCCACCCAGGAGGGTCGGGTGATGTTTGGGGTTTCTTCCAACCCAAATCGTTCCATGTTCCTACAACTACAACACTGGGGTCATCTTGGCCAACGGGGCAACAATAAAACTCGATAAAAATGTGATGAATGATTGATTCAGGGGAGATGTTTGAGGGTTTACACAAGGAGGACGTTGCTTCCTGCAGGCAACTCTTGGTTATTATTGGGTGACCAGAACAATGCTCCCCTGGGGACAATTCCAGAAGGGACACCCGACGTCACAAGAGGTCATGGTCACATCCTGGAGAGGCAGATCCTGTGGGTCACCTGCCACCACGTCAGCCTCACAGTCAGAGTCCCCTGGACGTGATGGCAGCCTCTTTTTGCCATAAATTGGTGCTGCCTCAGCATCCTGGAATTCCCAAACTTTTACAGGGATGCACCACCAACATCTTCTAACGTGGAGCTGTCCCCGCTCTGCCTGCGGCCGCGGTTCCTCACGTGAGCACCCAAACGTGATCACCACAAGCGTCCTCAGTCTCAGAAGCCTTTGGGATATTCTCAGGAAACGGGATGTGTGGAACCAACACAGGGGAAAACCCGCACGCGTGCGCTGCTGCTTTGGGAGCCGCTTCCTTTAGACTCAACCCATCCATTCCATGGATGAAAATGAAAAAAAAATATCTTAATAATACGACAAAAATTAAAAAAAAAAACCAAAAACCAAAAGCAGGGAGTGTGAGGACCCAGCACCCTGAAGGGAGGCCCAAGAGCAAGAAAGGGGAAAATTCAGCCTAAATCTCCACCACAGAGGCAGGAAAAAAGGATTCCCATTGACCAAAAATTTCCACTGACCCCCAGAGCTCCCGGCCAGGGGCAGAGGGGACACATGAGCAATGACAGCTCCAAGTTCCAGGCATGGTTGTCCCACTGCTTCAGCACCTGGCTGGCCCCAGGCACATTGTTAAGCATCCCTGTGTCCCAAGGTCATTCCTTGGGAAGGGATGGGAATACCTCAGAGCTCCCTCCCTCCGGTGCCATTAACGCAAATCCATTAGAAAATTTGCATCTGTTGTTCCTCTGGACGAGTAATTATGGGGCACAATTGAGGTGGTGAGCAAACAGAAAGAGGCAGAGATTAAACACCTGAGGAAGACACGTGAGGGGATACCCGGGATGACCCACGGAGTCGGAATTGCCGAGGGATGCCTCATTTCCAGGGGAGGAGGCTTTGGAGCGTATAAAAGGCTCCCCAGCCCAGGGGTCTTCATTCGATCATCTCGACTTCTCCTCTCCTCCCTCCACTGCTCAGCAGGGTAAGTTGGGATTTGTTGCTTGTCTTTACCTGGGGACTCTGTTTCCGGGGGCTTCTCCAGGATTTTCTGGGCTGTCTGGTTTGGGGCCGCACGCTGCAGAAGATTTGGGATCACAGATTGGTTTTGGGGACTGGAGATTGGTTTTGGGCTGCACAAAGGTGGATTCCAGTGCTGGACAAAATGCCAAAAGCACGGCAGCCTGTCCTGGGATTCAGGACAGCAGGCACATCCCTGGCTGGTTTGGGATGGATCTGGGGATAAGAAGGCTTTAAGCTGCCTCACCTTCTGGGAGATCCAAGCAGAGAAAAAGACAAACTCTCTCTTTCCCTCCCAGCTTTGCCTCCACTCCCATCACCAAGATGCCCAACGGATGCTGCGGCGGTGGCAATAATTACTCCGTGTGCTGCTACAGCAGCCCCAAGACCTGCAAGAGGCCCATGTGCTGCACCCCCATGCAGTGCTGCAGCCCCTGCTGCACCCCCTGCTGCATGCCCATGCAGTCCTGCTGCATGCCCATGTCCTGCTGCTACACCATCAGCAGCAACAACAGCAGCTGCTGCGGCGGCAGCAGCAGCGGCGGCTGCTGCGGCAGCAGCTGAGCCCGCCCGGCTTCTTCCCTCTTGGATGTGGCTGTGGATAACGCCCCGAACGCTCCTGCTCCTGTGCTCAGAGACCGTAGAACCCCTCCTCATCACCTGCCTTCCCTCACCTGGTGCTTGTGATGTGCCCTGAAGCCGCGGCCCGGCGACTTTCTGCCGTGGGCGCTGGTCCTGCTCTTCGTTTTCCTCTTGGTGTGTGGGATGTTTCACTCCTTCGTCGCTGTTTTGCCCCGATCTGTCTGATAAAAACAAACCCCAAAACCCAATAAAATCTGTAGTTTGTGACCCTGCAACCTCCTGGTGTTGATCTGTTTGTTTGCTGGTGGGTCCAGAGGGTTTTGCTGCATCTTTCGCCTTTTCCTGGTGTTTTTTATCCCCAGTGTTGGGATTCTCCTGTATCCAAGGTGTTCACTAGGGGAACACGAAGAAAATCAGGGCATCCCTGGTAAATTAATTCAAACTGGAGTTTCTGGCACCTCTGGGAGCGATATTTGCCCTCTCAGGATAAAATAACAGAGAAATAGGAAGAGAAAAGGAGGGAAAAATGTTGTGTGGAGACCTCACAGCACCTGCCAGGCTCTGCAGGGGCTCCAGGAAAGCTGGAGAGGGGCTTTTCATCAGGAACTTCAGGGCCAGGACAAGGGGCAGTGGGGTCAGACTGACAGAGGGGAAACTGAGGCTGGATATTGGGAAGAAATCATTCCCTGTGAGGGTGGTGAGGACCTGGCACGGGTTTTCCAGGGAATTTCTGGTTGTGCCATCTCTGGAAAGTGCCCAGGACCAGGTTGGACAGGGCTTGGAGCCACCTGGAATAGTGGAAAGTGTCCCTGCCCATGGCAGTGGGTGGAATAAGTGGATTTTTATGGTCCCTTCCAACCCAAACCAGTCTCTGATTCTATGAAAATAATTCATAAACTCACTGAAAACGGGAATGTTTTCAGAAAGAGTCTGACCCAGACACATCCCAGCTGGGGAAGCTCCATGGATTCCAGCCAGCCAAAGATCTGCCTCTGGCACTCGGGACATGGAGGTTCTGCCTCTGCCAAACTGAGTTACCAGACTCTGAGCTGAAGCTGTGAAACAAACGCTGAGAAGCCTCTGCTGCCTTCAAAGGTCGGTTGGGGCTGTACCAAAACATGAAAATTCTGCTCCGCCGCCCTTTGGATGCATTTGATGCCCTTTTCTGATTCTGCTTCAGTCCCTTGTTTGCGTTGTGACCCACATCCCACTCCCCTGAAATGACTTGGCTACCTGGGTTCCACCAAGAGCTGGCCACGACCATCCTGGGTGGGAAACGCCCGCCTCCATCTCCCCGCTCACAGCCACGGGACTTGCCAATGGAAAAAATCCCCTCAGGAGGCACGAGTGGAGTGCGTCCCTTTGCTTCTGCCCCATTAATTCCTTGTAAATTAATAAATGGACCTGTCCAAGTGCGTTTGTCTTCACCAGGAAGGAAAAGCCGCACGTGTTCTCCTGCCCCTCGCGGAGAAGTCACAATTACCTGCATTGCTTCTCCAGTATTTCACTCCAGGAATTGCTCTCATGCCAGGGAAGCCTGGGAAGGAGCTGCTGGCATTTCCTGAAGGGATGAAACAGCTCTAAAATCTCAATCTGCTCCCCCTTGAGCTGCACAGAGAGCAAACCAAGGTCCCTGTCACTGTCCTCGGGGCTGGTCCCAGCTCACCTGGGCTGACCCCTCTCCCGAGCAGCCCCAGGATCCCTGAGGATATCAGGCAGCAGCAAGGAACTGGCCAGGCAGGATCACCATCCTCTCATTAGGCAGCTCTCAGGATAATGTGGCGAGGTCCTCAGCGGAGAGCTGCAATTTCAGACGGTGAAAAAATTCCTCCCAAAATTCCTCCCCGGTGTTCACGCCAGGGCTCAGCTGCCCAAGGCTCTGCCTTACCTTGACATCCTTCCCTTCTTCTCTCTCCCTCCCTCCCAGAAAATGGTTTCACCTCAACAAAACCTCTTCCCGAGTCCCTGCCTCCCACTCAGCTCCACCAGCCCGGTGAGGAGCAGGTTCTGCTCAACCTTCTCACCCTCTGGTTCACCCTGGGCTCCCTCCCCTCCCAACACCCTCAGAGGGTCCTGCCCCAGCTCCAAACCCCTCCCTCCCTGCTGGGGGCTGGGCAGGGGGGTCCTGCTCACTGCCAGGATTCCAGGACCCCTCAGGGAAAGCTGCAGGAGGGAAATGTTGGCTTGGGGTGCACCACACCCAGTCCCGGAACCTCCAATCTTGCAGAGGCAGGGCTGCCCCTTGACCATTTAACTGAAATATTAATAAAAATACCGCTACTAATAAAAATCAATAAACAGAGCGAGAACTTCCCAAACCTGGAAGTGTCCAAGGACAGGCTGGATGGAGCTCTGAGCAGCCTGGTCTAGCTGGACGTGTCCCTGCCCGTGGCAGCGGGGTGGAATTGGGTGACCTTTAAGGTCCTTTCCAACCCAATGGATTCCGCGATGGATTTGCACGGAGTCACGTGCAGGTGACTGAGCCCCAGACATCCCAAACACTCCTCGCTCACGTGCGTGTCCAGTGACCGGGAACAAACATCCCCATTCTCCTGAAATCTTCCCAATTTGCTCCAAACACCATTCCCGTGAAGCGGCCGGCATCACGCCGGGGTTCGGTTCCGGCTGCGGCACTGAGTCAGCACCAGCTGCTGCTGACTCAGTCCCGGAACATCTCCGTCCAGCAGATACGAGGCCGCATTTTTTGGCTCCCTCTCAAGGTTGTGGGGAGGACAAATTCATCCAAATTCATGGGAGCCCTTTGATTATCTCCAGGCTAAACCATGACGAGGCAGAACAAGGGTGGTGATCACCAGTAATGAGGCGAAATGCAAATTCCAGGCGACACATATGTCTAAAAAATATGGGTTTGGATGGATAAACAGGGAAGCTGGAATGGTCAATGTCTGTCTCACTTCCAGGAGGGAAGGATGGCCGGGAGTATAAAAGGGCTCCGGGCCCAGCTCGCTTCATTCGCTCGTCTTCTCCTCTCTTCACCTCTCCTCGCTCTTCAGCAGGGTAAGTGAGAACTCCTAACCCTTCCTTCGCCTCCCGAGAGGGAATTTTGGATCTCTTACAGCAGATCCAGGTGTTGCTGGGATCTGGGATGGGGCTTGGACATTGGGGTTTTACGAACTCTACACGAGGAGTTCTGGGGATGAGCTGGAAATCTTCGGGGAGGCTCTGGGACTATCAACAGGGCCATGCAGGGGAGGAGAACGGAGAATATTCCAGAAGGGCCCAGAGTGAGGGCCCGCGGCTGGGTTGCTCTTCCTAGGACACCAAGGGTGCCCCGGAACGCGTCGTTGGGCACCTGAAAGGGGGGAAGCTCGGAGCCGCGGCCACAACTCACAAACCAGGCTCCCCCGGGTTTCCCCTCCTTGAACCCCCAAATGTGAGCGGGTGGACAGAGCTTCGAATTAACCCCGTATTGCCCAGCCTGCTGCTCCCACTCACAGCCTCTCTCTGCTCCTCCCAGCCCCGCCTCCCACCACCCTCCAAGATGCCCAACGGATGCTGCGGATGCGGCGGTGGCAATAATTACTCCGTGTGCTGCTACAGCAGCCCCCGCTGCTGCAAGACGCCCATGTGCTGCAGCCCCATGCAGTGCTGCAGCCCCTGCTGCAGCCCCTGCTGCATGCCCATGCAGTCCTGCTGCATGCCCATGTCCTGCTGCTACACCATCAGCAGCAACAACAACAGCAGCTGCTGCGGCTGCAACTGAGCCCGCCCGGCTGGCTCCCGGCTCGGATACGGATGTGGATATGGATTCCATCCCAAATGCTTCTTCTGACTGCTTGGACGCTCAGAGCTTCTCTTCTTTGCTGCCTTTAGTCCCCCAGTGCTTTGCTGTGCCCTGAAGCCGCTGCCCGGCGAGTTTCTGGCGCTGCTCTTCCTTTCCCTCTCGGTGTGTGGGATGTTCGATGCTGCCGGTGTCTCCTTCTCCCTTCTCTTTCTTTAATCCCCAATTAGCCGTGAAAGACAATAAAATTTGTTAGTTCTGATCCTGCAAACTCCGGGGTTGTGTTTATTCATTTAGCTTTATCCCTTAAACAGTAGCTCCGGTGTGGGGTGTGTTTAGCATTTGCCTAATTGATTAATGCAATTAATTTTGCATGTTTGTCGCTCTGTGATGACAACGCCCCGGTGTACCTGGTGAGCTCCTTGGGCCGATGCTCACCTGGGGGAAAACGGAGCTTGCAATCGACAAATGTCACCTCAGCAAGAGGAGCATTGTTTAATTCCGTTCTCCTCCTGCTGATTTGAGACCCTGTTTGCAACCAAAGCACCTCTGAAGTCCTGCAGCCAGAGGTGGAGGTCTTTTTTTCCCTAATGGGAATCTTTCCAGAGAACTTCCTGAGCTTTAAAGGAGGGTTCTTAAACTGCTTAAACAGACCAGGATCGTTCAGGTTGGAAGGGACTTCAAAACTCATCCAATCCCATGCCCTGCCATGGACAGGGACACCTCCCACTGGCCCAGGGTTGCTCAGGTTTAGTTCCAAGCCTGAAGGACCCAGAAACGCTGAGTCGTTTTCTCTGGGTTCTATTAAAATGTGGGAGACTTTAAGAGACGAGATCAGAAATTCAATATTCACACTCGGGGGTTTGTGAAATCCTCAGGAAATGGCTCCAAGACTCCTCTAACGTGAAAAACCCAGCAAAAAAACTCGGGACTCTGTCAATGAGTTCTAAACCCAAAATCCTGCTTGGTCCTTACAGATCCCGAGGTTTTTTCCATCTTTCCGCACAAATCCCATGGCTCCCTGCCGGGCAATTCCACTTCTCCTGTGGCTAGGGAATAAATGACAGCAGAGCCCCGCCAGGTGCCAGCACAGCCCTGGAGCCGCACCCCCGAATTCTGCGGATGCTTTTCCCAGTGATTCAAACCCAAATTCCACTGGACAGACCTCTGAGAATGCCTTTGGAACCCAGGGGGGCTCCGGGGAATTTTCCTGGTACTTAAAAAACGTCTCGGCCACAGAAATGCCAAATGGAGCAGCCCCACAGAACGGGAATCAAAGCGAAAATGCCAGAAAGGTGGACACGGTGCTTGGCAAAGCCTGGAATTGTTTCTGTGTGAGGTCATCGCTGCTCCCATGTCCTCATTCCAGACTTTCCACATATAAAAGGCTTTTCCTGGCCGTAGCCACTCACTCGGCCGAGGTGCTCCGCGCTTGGGAGCGAATTAATCCATTTCAATCAGGGAATAAACATCCCAGCATCCCATCCCCCCGTAGGGATCCCGGATTCGCATCTCCCGCTCACCCACAGCAGCAGCACCCGCTGCCCCTCGCCCTCCTGGGGCCGCCCTGGGTTCCCTCCCCTTCCTCTGGGAGGGTTTTCTGTGGTTTTCCCACTGCCAGCAGGGTCTCCTTTCGGGCGCATCACTCAGCATCCCGGCATTCCAGGTATCCGCATCCCAGGATCCGTCTGACTAACGCCACTGGAGCATGACCAGGGCTAATGGGATAATGGCCACTGCCTCTGCAGAGCTGGCCCGGCGCTAATTGCGGCTGATTAATCCGACAGTGAGTGCCAGAAACAAAACACACACACACACACGGCAGCGGCCTCAGTGCTCAGCTATTAATTCCCAGGACGTGTCTCATTCCCGGGAGAGCTCGGCCGCTTATAAAAGCTTTCAGCCGCAGCTCTGTGCTCAGGAACTCCGACTCCCTGCTCAGCCCGGCCGTTTCTGCTCGCAGGGTGAGTTGGATTCTCTCAGCCCTCTCAGATCCCTTTGTTTTTCCTTGGAAATAGCAAAAAAAAAGGAAAAAAAAAAAAAAAAAGAAAAAAAGGAGTCGGTGTTTTGTTTTCTTTTCCCCAGGCTGTTTATGCCCAAGGGCTTGGTCACCCTCAAAGGATTTGTGAGTCATGGGGGAAGCAGCTCCTGAAGGAGCTGGGGGGGCTCAGCCTGGAGAAAAGGAGGCTCAGGGGGGATTTTGGGCTCTGCAGAATTCCCTGGCAGGAGGGGACAGCTGAGGGGATCGGGCTCTGCTCCCAGGGAACAGCGACAGGAGGAGAGGGAACGGCCGCGGGAGGCTCGGGGTGGACACAGGAGGAATTTCCTCCTGGAAAGGGCGGCCCAGAGAGGTTTGGAGAGTCCTCATCCCTGGAGGTGTCCGAGGAATTCCTGGACGTGGCACTCCGGGCTGGGCAAAACCCTGATCCATCCCAGCTTGGGCTGGATGAGCCCGGAATTCTTTTCCACCCTCACTAACTGCCCGGTTCCGCCGTCTCTCCCCCAGGATGCTCCACCAGAAAGGCGGCACCGACCAGGACCCGTGCCAGCTCTCCTCGGGCCACCAGGGCTGGACACGGCCCAGCTCCAGCAGTGCCACCCCCGAGAGCTGTCACCACCCCGGCACCCTCAGCCACGACACCGAGGGCTCCTGCCAGAGCCCACCCCAGGGCTGCCCGGCCCAGCCCGGCTGCTGCCCGGCCCCGCAGAGCTGCAAGCCCCGGCGGCGGGTGGAGGTGAGCCCGGTGCCCCCCGTGTGCCCCCCGCCCGTGAAAATCCACCGCCGGCCGCTGGAGCAGCACCGCCCGTGCCCGCCCTGCCCGGAGCCCCATTCCTGCGGGAAGCCTCGCCGGAGAGTGGAGCAGAGTCCTGAGCGCGATGAGGAGCCCCCGGTGGTCCTGCAGCCCCTGCCTCTGCAGCATCGCTGCCCCCGGCCCCTGCCCTGCTGCCCCCGGCCCCTGCCATGCTGCCCCCGGCCCCTGCCCTGCTGCCCCCGGCCCGTCCAGCGCTGCTGCCGGGCCGCTGTCCCCCTGCCACCGCATCCCGGCCAGCAGCAGCAGAAACAGCTCACCCTGGTGCCGCTCTGCGTGAAGAACTGAGCCCGGGACCCCTCCCCAGCTCTTGCCGGTGCTGCCTGGGCCGGGGAGGTTCGCCCCCGGCCCAAAGGATGCTCCCAGCTCCGCTCCGGGCTCGTTGCTGCTCTTTGCACGTCAGATTTGGGGTGCCCTGCTCGGCCCCATCACCGACACTTTAAATTCCCGGGTTTTGTTTTTCGCTGGGGAGCAGCGGCGGGGTGTTCCCCCTCCCGAGGGGCACCCGGGGATGGAGGAACGGCCACGGGTTTGCCTTCTGCGGTTTCAAGGCTGTTTGAAAGCAGCTCCAGGACTTCTCGAGGGAAAAAGGAACCACTGTGACGGCGGGAGCATCACGGACTCCCGCAATTTTACCCCCTCCCCGCGTATCCGAGAATAAAGTTGGAAAATATTGAGCAACCCCTTGGTTCCTCTCTTTCTTGCCCCCACAAGCATCACAAGGAGAAGCTGCTGAAAGCCATTAAAACTCTGGCGAGGGAACTCGTTTAAATTGAATTTAATTTCATTTAAATCAGAATCGGGGCTCACACGGGAGGGTTCCAGCCCGGTTTCCCCAGGCTGGGCTGTGGGAAATCCTCCCCACGGCGGGATGGGCAGATCCAGGCACCAACACCTGCTCTGTGGCCGTGCCAGCACCTTCATCCCCTGGATGGAAGCACGGGGCATCCTGATTTAAATGTTAATTATGATAATGAGCGCGCGAGGCGTGGCTGTGCGTGCCGGGGATGCCTTTTCGATCCTGCAGGAAGGCGCAGGCCAGGCTCTCGCAGGCGCTCGGGTGACCTGCTCCTTCTCCTCACTTCCCCAGGAAAGCCTCCCGCAAAAGTGCATTAAAAGAAATAATTTAATTTCTTTGTGTTGCCTCAGCACGGCCCGGGCGTGTCCTCACACAACTGCCAGGGAGGACTGGGAAGGGGAAAAAAGGAAATCCATCCTCGTTTTCTTCACCACAACAATTTATTTTTCTCCGGTTTAATTCTAGCCAAATTAAAAAACCACTTACCTGTGAAATTTACCTTAAGAGAGCCCTTTTTTTTTTTATTAGGGATTTTCTTCCCAGCCTTTTCCCAGTTCCCGGCGCGGTGACTCAGAGCCCACAGACCAAGGGCCAGCTCAGCCCTCACTTCCAGGCCAGACCTGGTCCAGTTTATGTTCCAAGCTGCTTTTCCAGCCCCTGCATCCCAGTCACCCCATCCCAGCCACGGGACTGCTCCTTCAGCAGTTCCAGCCCCTCGCCCCAGCTCGGTGCCGCCTGAGGATTTTCCAAGTCCATGCCATTATCCAGGGTTTTAATGAAGGTGTTAAACAGCACCAGAATCAGCCACTCCTTCACCCCCACGTGGTTCATCCACCCAGTTTAACCCCAAAAACAGGAGCTGGGGCAGCTCCATCATCACACCTGGAGCCATGGAATCGGGGAATGGTCTGGGTTGGGAGGGACCTCAAAAAACCACCTTGGGGATGAGGTGAGGGGCAAGCCTGGAATGCAGAAATGGAGAAGAAACAGAACCGTGGGTTGGTTGGGGTTGGAAGGGACCTTAGGGATCATCTCACTCTAACCCCCACGTTCAGGGACACCTTCCACCATCCCATCCCTGTCCAACCTGGCCTTTGACACTTCCAGGAATGCAGCAGCCAGGAATTCCCTGGAAAAGCTGTGTCATGCCCTCCTCTCCCCCTCATGCCCAGACCCAGCCCCTCCACCACCCAAACCAAGGGGCACAATTTGCTTTCGGTGACTCTGAGCTGGCTCTTCCCATCACCTGCTCGTGCTTCACCTGGAAACGCTGCTCAGGCAGCAGGAGGGGAAGGGTCAGAGCGGTGCCATCACCGCTCCTGACTCACAGGTCACCCGTCAGTGTCCTGCTCCCCTGGAGAGGGTGAATAAGTCCTTTATTACCTGTCTCACACAGCCAAAGTGTGGCTCAGGCCGTGTCAGTCTTTTATGTGCCCCGCTGGGGACCGATGTTGTAATTAAAAGATGCTTATCAGAAATCGTGAGTCAAGCAGAACATGCCAGGCACTGGGAACAGCATCCAAATGGAGGAGATGTTTTGCCAATAAATAATTTAATCCTCGTTCCTGCTGCGTGTTTCACGTGCAGGGGAACACTCGGAGCTCTATAAAAGCCCTCGGCCCCTTTGGCCTCTCACATTCTGCTCCCCCGGGCGGCGCCTGCCTTCGCTGGAGAGCTGGTGAGACTCAGCTGGATGAGGGGATTTAGGAGGTCACACCTGGACCTTCACACCACGCTCTGCTCCAGAGCCAGGGGAGAAGCTCTGGAGGGAGCTGGGGGTGGGATTTACAGCCGTGCCACCCCCTGTGGTGACGCCTTGGGGTTGGTTTTGTTCCTGGAGGTGAAAAAAAATGGGAAGGGAAGGAGAGAGAGAGGGTTTGGATGCAATTCAGATGCAATCTGACCGGAGTTGGGCAACCACAGGGATTTCCTCTGGACCCAGGCTCTCAGGATGAACCCCTCACGGTTTTATGGGAAATCAAACAGAATCGGGGGAGATGCCGACACCAACCCGTCTCTTTCCCAGGTTTTTTCCCCCCACAGCCCCAATATGATTTACTCCTCGGGAAGAGAATCCTACTTCAACCTGAACTCCACCTGGTACGACCCCTCGGGATCCTGGCTGGACACGCGGCGCACGCCCTTCCGCTACGGCTACGCCAACTGCTGCTCCTCGGGCTGCCACGGCGAGGGCGCCGAGGGCATGAGGGGCCACAACTACCGCCACTACGGCTACCGCCAGCCCCGCTGCTCCGAGCGCTGCCAGGGCTACTCCAGCTCCTCGGGCTCGTGCCACGGAGGGGGCTCCGGCTGCGTCAGGAGGCCCACGTACAGCTACGGGGCATCGGGAGGGTGCCAGGGCTACGGGAGGTCCGTGTGCTCCGAGAGGTGCCAGGGCTCCTCGGGCTCGTGCCACGGAGGGGGCTCGGGCTGCGTCAGGAGGCCCACGTACAGCTCCGGGGGCTCGGGGGGGTGCCAGGGCTACGGGAGGTCCGTGTGCTCCGAGAGGTGCCACGGGGCAGGGGCCCAGGGTGGGAAGCCGTGCTGTGGGAAACCCGTGCAGAGCATCCCGGTGCAGAGCTGTCCCCGTCCCTGTCCCCCTCCGGTGCAGAGCATCCCGGTGCAGAGCTGGCCCCGTCCCTGTCCCCCTCCGGTGCAGAGCATCCCGGTGCAGAGCTGTCCCCCACCCTGTCCCCCACCAATGCAGAGCTGTCCCCCTCCCTGTCCCCCTCCGGTCCAGCAGGCCTGTGTGCCCGTGTCCAAGGGCATCCCCAGCCAGCAGCACAAGCAAATCTGCAAAGTGCCAGCCCGGAAGATCAAATAAAGGATTTGAGGAGCGAGGGGAAACAAGGGGAGCTTGTCCCGCGTGTCCCTGCCCTGCGCTGTCACCCATCCCTGCTCTGTCCCCTCCGCTTGTAACGCGCTCTGAAGCTGTGACCCGCTGACGCCGTGAGATTTGGGATGCCCCTCGCCTCATTTCACAGCAGACGCGGAGGCAATAAAAAAAATGCTGTCTCCAAGCCCCCTCGCACCCGTGTTTTTTCCCTCTTCATCCATCCGAGCGGTTTCTGTTCCTTCTGGTGGCCAAAGCTGGGTTTGCAGCGGCCCCGTCTGCCCTCACAAGGAGGCTCGGGGTTGGTTCCACCTGGTGGCTCCTCATTCCCACTCCAGGCGATTTCCTGGCTGGAAAAGTAACAGTTTTCATCACGGAGTGTTTGTGCAAGAGGGTAATTAAATATTAATAGGGTTGTGTAAGGAAAAATCCACATTTCATCAGAGAGGGAAGAAGCAGAGGGTCTGTGTGGGACCACGAGGAAATGGGTACAGCTGGATTTGCACAGTAAACCTCCCCAAAAAAATGTCCCAGGGGAAAAAAAGGCAGGGAGAGGATTTGGGAATGGCTCTAAGAGGGTGAAAGGCCCCAAAATCCTGTTGGGGTCTGGTGGGGTGGGGAGAGGAATCCCCTGGGAGGATCTGTGGGGCAAAGCAGGGATCTGGAGCCGCTGTGAGTCACAGCTCCGCATCCTCGGAGGCTCCTGGCACCTCACCTCACCCAGGCGAGGGCCTCCACCCGCTCCTGGCGCCAGGATGTGGCTCACGGCACAGCCAGCCGCTTCCCAGGGCTGCTGGGGGGGATTCCTCCTGCAGGATGAGGAGAAGCAGCAAAAGCAGGTGCGGGGTTGGGGTTTTAGGGGTGGACACCTGGGGGCTGCTGACGCTGCCCCAAGCCTCCCTTGCCAACCCCTGCGAAGCCAATTCCTTCACAAAACCAAGGAATTACCCCCCAAAAAAGCCATTTCCCACTCAGGAGGGTGTCAGTGGATCTGGGGATGCCTCTCTGAGGAACGAGAGCTTTGTAGGGGACACGGGCTCCAACTGTGGGGCCAGCACAGTCCTGTCCCGTACGTGGGCCCCGGTGCCCCCGGGCCCTGCTCAGGTGTTTGTCTCCATCACCGAAACGAACGATGGAACAGGTTTATCCCCATCCACGGAATCAGGGCTGTAATTAATCGTGAATAATGAGTTTCACAAGGATCTCCATTCTCCCAGCATTTGTGAAATATCCCGAGTCGCGCTGGGTTTTCCCCATCTATTGATTCCGGCAATTCAGCTCCACTGGGGACCAAGGAGTCTCCTGGATTCTGTGTTTTATTTTACTTCAACCCAGGCTATTTTAAATATCACAGTGGCCTCTAGAGTCCTGCAGGGAATCAGGCCTGGAGCTCTCCACCAGCAAAAAGACACTTTTGTCCCCAAATCAGAGCGTTAAAGACGCAGATCCCGATGTCCTCCCACTCCTACCAGGACGTTTTCCACATCCTACGAGGCTTTAAATTCCTTCTGTTTGGGTTGAAAGCCCTTCAGTTAAGAAAGGCCTGGCTTGAAAAATTCCAACACTGCTTTTAGTGCTCCTTGCTGATTTTATTCAGAATTTTTGGTGTTTCTTTGGTGCTATGCCTTGTCCAAATTACGTTTGTTTTTACTGCCCACCACCACGGCCTTTTTTGTTCCCTTTCCCTTTTATTTCTGGGTTTCCTTTACAACCCCACAATCCCACCTTCCCACCCCCTAAAATCTGTCCCTTCTCAGTTCAGGTTTGGGGCACAAGGGACAAAACGCCACAAAGGGGACAAAATCCATCCCGAACGCTCCCCAGCCCCACGCCCCGACCTGGCCAGGCGTGGTGGGCAATTAACATTTTTATGGAGTAACAAGAGGAATGTCAGGATATCGATCTGCTCCGTGAGTCAAAACAGCTGCACAAAAACTCCCAATTAGCCGAGTGCTCGGGGTGCTGAGCAATCAGGTCCCTCCAGTGGGGCCCCATCTCGTTTCCGGAGGAGAAGCCCAAGCCAGGCTTTAAAAGCCCGCGCTTGCCGTTTCTCCTCAGCGTCTCAGCTCCTCGGCGTCTCCTCTCCGGCTCCTTCTGCTCCAGGTGAGTCCAGACCCATCAGACTTCTGCTCTTCTGATGCTCTTCAGCTTCTCCCTGGTCCTGAGCTCTTGGGCGCTTCTCTTCCACATCCTGTCTCCATCTCAGTCCTTCTGCCGAGGAGAGAAACGTAAAAATTTCTGGCTCAGGTGGCTGAGGACTCTGTGTGTCTTGTTCTGGAGTCTGTCCAGCTCTTTTAACTTCTCCCGGCTGCATGAGAGAAGGGCTCTCACCCAAAGAGGTGACAACCCTGCTCCCGTTGGAGAACTTGGCTTAGAACCACGGAATCACACAATTATGAGGTCACGGAATCGTGCAGAGGGTTGGGACGGTTAGAAGGGACCTTAGAAACAGCTTGCTGACTTTAGGGACACCCCACCAGCAGCCCAGGGTGCTCCAAGTCCCGTCCAGCGCAGCTGTGGACACTTCCAGCGTCCCTGGTCACTGCCTTGACTCACGGAGCAGTTTTCCCAGCAGGTCTCCAGCCATGTGCTCCCGCCAGGACAAGGACCAGTGCTACCAGCAGGAACGGTCCTGCTGCCAGGGGAGCAGCGGATCCGGCTGCCACGGGAGCAGTGGCGGATCTGGATGCCACAGGAGCAGTGGTGGATCTGGATGCCACAGGAGCAGTGGCGGATCCAGCTGCCATGGAAGCAGTGGCGGATCTGGATGCCACAGGAGCAGCGGATCCGGTTGCCATGGAAGCAGTGGCGGATCCGGTTGCCATGGAAGCAGTGGCGGAGCCGGGTGCCATGGAAGCAGCGGATCCGGCTGCCACGGGAGCAGTGGCGGATCCGGCTGCCACGGGAGCAGTGGCGGATCTGGATGCCACAGGAGCAGCGGATCCGGTTGCCATGGAAGCAGTGGCGGATCCGGTTGCCATGGAAGCAGTGGCGGATCCGGTTGCCATGGAAGCAGCGGATCCGGCTGCAGCGGGGGACCCTGCCACGGGACATCGCAGGAGTGCCAGCAGCAAATCTACCAAGTATCCTCCAGGATGAAGTGATGGCGCCATCCGCTGCAGGTGATCCACGGGGATGTCCTGGATCCTGCGCCGCGTTCCGAAAGCTTTGCAAATTTCCCAGCGATTTCCCAGGAAAATGTGTCCCTCCCCTTCCTTCCCCTCCCCTGGCAAATCCTGTAACCTGTCCTGAGCTGCTCTGTGGATGCTGAAATAAACTTTCTGCTCACGCTGGCGCACTTGTGTCGGGATCAGTCTGTGACTACATTTGAGCCGCCACAATCCATAACTTGGGAGAGGTTTTAAGCCAAAAAAAAATTCTAAAGACAAAGAACCCCTTTTTTTATTATTATTTTTGCCATTTGGCCCCAAAACTCCTCCCAAGGGGGAGGCACCTCCAGCCAGCCTTTCTAGAAACGCTGTGCCCAGCCCTGCCAGAGCTCTGGGTCGTGCCAGGGGCGTTGCTCGATGGTTACACAAGGAGCTGCTACGTTTATTCTCAACTTGTAATTAAAACCAATTGGGTAATTTATTGCTCCGGTATTGCCATTCATGAAATGGATGTTACCGTGATAAGATTGTTCTCGAGTGCGTCAGGAGGATCAGAAATTTCTGGCATTGCTGAAAAGGGTGCAGGCAGCAGCTCACTCCCTGTTTTCGGAGCAGGGATGGATCCGAGTCTGGGATTTGCCTTGAGCCCCCCCATTTCCAAACCCGTTTTCCAGGCACATGAAGGTGGCCAAGCACAAAATGTAGAGGTGCCCATTGTTAACAAATCGGAGCAATTAAAACACGAGGAGCTGAACTCGGGGAGATGCCAAGAGCCGAAAATTCCTTCCGGTCTTTTTTTTTTCCCAGAGGTCATTGACCACATTTCTGCTGAGGCCAGAACAAAAACCAATTAAGGAGCCAAACCCCGGCACAGTTTGCCCTGACACTGTTCTAGATCTTGCCAGAAGTTTAGCAACACAAAAGAAGCTCCAGGTTGCTCACCTGGCTCCTTCACCTGCCCTGTCCTCCCACCTTTCCCAAAATCCTCCGTGTTTGGGTACCAGCAAGTGCGGGTGGGTTTTGGATGGCAGGAACCGCTCAGCCTCCATCTCCCCGTGGTCACCATAAAACCTCAATAAAATCAAAAACAGGAGAGCTCGTGAGGAAGGGAAAGATTTTCCACCCGGTGTTTCCCAAGCTTTTTCACTCTGACAAAACCACAGCAGCTCCCAGATGGGAAAATCCGGATTTCAGCCTTTATTTGCTTCCTGTTTGATGACTGAAATGTCTTCCATAAGCAGAAAGGGGCCAAGCAAGCTCTGTGGTCCTAAAGAATTCCCAGCCCACGCAGCAGAAAGGTACAGGGAGTATCCCAAATTATCGCCTCGCATGAGCTCTCAGTGTGCAGAACACCACCGGGATTTACTGGCCAATTAGGAGCTAATTGGGGAGCAGGAAAAATGCAAAATGAATGTTCCTGCAGCTCTGGAGAAAGTCCCGGGGGTCTGGCAGTTCCCCACAGCGTGGCAGCACCGTGAGTGGCCGAGGGCTCCCGCGGGATTCCTCCTCCCGCAGCGTGTCCCAGCACCTGGAATAAAACCACAGGACGGCTGATCCGGAATTGTTCCCGGGCTGAGACTCAACCACGTAATTAAGCACCTTGCTAATTGTGGATCGCTACCCAGGGCAGGGTTTATTCCTTCCAAAAAAAAATAATAAGAATTCCAGCTGCCTGTGGTCCTCCTGGCAGCGGCGGGAAACCTTGGAGTTTCCTCATCGCCCCACCGTGTTTTCACCGAGGTGAGGAACGAGCCCATGGAAATCCAGGCAAATCCCAAAATCCCTGAGGTTGGAAAGGCTCTCCAAGGTCGTCGAGCCCAAGCTGTGCCCGATCCCCACCTTGTCACCAGCCCAGAGCGTCACGGCCAGGCCTTCCTTGGA